ACGTGTGCAAGAGGGTATTTTAAAATATTCTTTGGGTAAGTATTTTTCGGCTCTCGCAACTGTGTACGTCATATATATGAGCGCGCGGGGAATTTTTGAATTTTTACCTGGGTAGCAGCCGAAGCCTACTCTTGCCGATTTTAGACCACCAATAAATGATCTTCAACGTGCGCAACTTGCACACGGGATCTCCGAGATTTTTTGCCCGTGTCTTAGAAGGCTGTGTGCAGATCTTTTCTACAAGAAGATCAATGGTGTGGCTGAAAAACAGCAGTAAGAAGGAGCCAAGGAGTAGCAGTAGAAAAGCTGAAGAAAGAGTCAGAAGCCCAGAGGAGGCGGAAAAGGAGGTGAGGGGGTGTGGGTAGAACGTGGAGACGAAAGCAGACGACTTAACATTGCTTGAGAACAGGAAAGGGGGTGAAATGAGACAATTTTAGAGAAGAGAGTGTTTCCGTCGCTACCGGTTTTGAACCCTGGACCTTTGAAAGAAAGGCGAACACCTTAACCTCTAGGCCACGAGAGACCCCGTGTAAAAGTCGGCGGGGTAGCAGAGGTTGTGTTCTACATAAAACGGAGAGAAGGAGAATCTAAATCCCTCTATTTCTTTTTTGTGTGCCATAGTCAGTACTATCTTCTCTCATATTTTGATGACGCGGGTCCAGAGAGACTAAGGTCTTGAAACTCCATTATGGATGGAATCAGCAATAAAGTAGCTTTCAGAATACGGGCTGGGGAGAATGAATTGTCTAGACAATGTATTTTTCTAGCGTTGCGTGGGTATATAGTTAACATTCCACCCTGATCCCCTAAAGGGTCTTTCTTCATATAATCCATGACTATTTGTGTAATCTATCTCTCGATATCTGTGAGTGGGGGAAGACACTAGAGCTGCCCATGGCGTAACAATCATGTATTGTGGTGTTTTGGCTTGCCATCATCAATCATCATACAATAATAAAGAACTACGCGTATTCCATCGCGTCCACTTCTAATACGAACAAAATAAAACGATGGTTAACCAGACTAACATGTAATCAATTATCGCGTGCGTTCCACATCAACCGCACAAAAGCGTTTTCTCGTGCCGATTACATATTATCAGTCGCCTCTCCGAGAGCCTGTTCCAAACCCTGGGGATGTGCCTGCTTCCTGTGATTAGTGTGTCTGTGGATTCAAGCATGAAGCTGTGGACATTCGTCAAGAGAAACTCCCGTCATTATTTCTAATAGCTATGAATTGCAAGTGTCGTAATACGTGGCAGGCATAGATTTCATGCCCAGAGTATCTACCACGCAAGTAATTTACAGATTTGGAAATACCCTGTATGATGGAAGCATGAAACCTCCCCATAGACCCATTCCAGTCCGCCTTTTTCATTACGTGTGGTAGACTCGTGTATCAAACTGTGCCTCCACGCAAGCACTTTGTAAGTCTGGAAAACTTCTAAATGATTAGAAAGTCAGACGCAGTGTTGTTACTCCAGTACTCTGGAGCATGCAATTAATTGCTTTATTCGACTATCATCACAAGCTTCTAATATTATCAAGTTCTCTTTGCAATTGTATCATTATGATGTAAATGACTAGACCGAGTTTGTTGTAAATCCCCTCAGCTGAACAGATGTAAATAAAGATTGCTATCGCTGTATCAAACTCTGGGTATCGTGAACAGTAGGGATAGGGAGAATGGTAAGTTGAATATAGCGCTGTTTGTCGATATTTTTCATGGGAAACGATCAAGGGAGAAAGAGAGAGGCGGGGTGAGGGAGGGAGGGAGATAGAAAAGGGAAGAGAGAGGGAGAGAAGCTGAAGGAGAAAGGGCGAGAAAGGGGGATAGAGAAGGGAGAGGAGGAAGAGAGAGAAAA